TCATGTTTAGCTATGCCAAGACTTTTATTCTTTGGAATTTTTACCAATACATGGGGCTTATGACCCAAATACTACAATACAATGAGGATAACGTTTTAAAATTTTAATAAATGAATGGATCACTAAAATACTACTCTAAAATGAACTTCACTTTATGCTTTATACCTCACAACAAACTATATTGCTATAATGACCCCAAACAATGGATTATTATAACACAAAAGCCTTAGAACATGAAATAAACTTACAAAAGGTCCTTGAACAAACTATTTTTTATTTTTTTTTATTTTTTCATAGTAATTAAAATTTCACAGTAAATTAATATGGACTTATAAACTTCTTTAGACAAAAGATCATATATATAAATTAAATTTAACGAAACATATAGGCTCTGATACCAAAATTAAGTTGAAGCTAACCGGATAGAAGCATGCAAATAACATAGAGATAAAATTAAGAATTAAATCACAGAAATGACTGCCGAACTTGATAACGCTCTGATAATGCCCTGTAAAAACACCTGAACACCGACAAGAACGAGCCAACAAGCCAGTAGTTCAAGTCAACTCACAGAAGAAATTATTAAATTGAAACTAAGGCTGCTTGTACTGGTTGGATTCAAGAAAATTTTAGGATCTACACTGTCTAGCTAAATAAAATCTATATATTTAATCTTTTTGTCGACAGAAGTCTTTTGTCCGAAGATACCGAAAATACTAAATAAGGAAAAGAAATTTGTTGAACATGAGCAAACTGGATTATTTATTTCATAGAAAATATACATGGATACACATTGTTTGTACATGGATACATTCTCACACAATAATTTACAAAAGGAAATATACTGAAAGAAATCACAAAGGAAACAGACTGGAAATTATGGTTAAAAGCTGGAGAGTTTGATGGTACTAGGCTTGATTGCTCTAAACTTGATTGATTCTTACTTGAGCAGAGAGGCTCCTTTTATAGGAGAAGTGGGAGATGAATCTTCAGTTGAGATTGCAGATGCTGCATAGACAGTTGAGATGCAAGATGCTTTAGTGATAAGATGGCTTGAATTATTGCTGAATTATTGATGTCTGCTTCTAGAGAATTTTATCAACTTTTACTGTTGAAAATTTGCTTTCGGTGGATCTGTTTTTATCTGTACAGTATTGAATCTGCTTTTCTTGGATGCTGAGGTCGCCTTTATCTATATACTGTGGCGAATCTGTTTTTCCTTAGATACCTTTAGAATTCTTACATATTGGACAAATTTATGCCGGTTGTGCTATCTGGTGGGCTATCATCTCTGTGCATGTGGGCCAAATAGGTATCAGTGCTCTCTGGTGAACTGGTTTCTTCATTTCTGTAGGCAAGTTCGAACTGTTCAAGTAACATTTTTTCTTCATTTATTATTTCTTCAAATTCTGGAGATATCTCAATCTCTGGAGGAGATTTAATAACATGATGAATTCTTGCTTTGACAAAAATTTCCAAGTTAATATTATGGTCATAGAGTCTGAAGCCAATGTTATAGCTTGAGTTAACATGTCGATAGGCTTTATAATAAACCAAATGGTTAAAGGTGGCTGGTTCTATATCTTTACGAATGTTGTTTACAAAATCAACATGTCGGATAAGAATTTGAACTTCTGTGGGATCAGAATGAATGTAAATTCGATGTTGTCCCAAAATTATAGCTCCATCTTTTACCCATTCTGGGGGAGTATTGTGGATTTGAAGGAGAATTGGACTTTCTGGCATGAAATTTTGAGTTAGTTTTTGTTCGAAAGTAATGGCTTGATTTAATCGATTGGAAAAATTACCTAGGGAGTTTAGATATTCTAATGGCATGTCTTTCGGTATGGAAATGCTGTAGACCATTCCTAATTCTAAGAGCTTGCTTAAATAACATGTGGTAGTTTTTGTAAAGAAATAGGTTTTTTGGGTTATTTCAAAAGGATATAAGAAAACAATGTTTACGTCTAACAAAATAATGGTCATAGGTATGAGATTCTTTGTTTGTATAAATCTTAGGAAAAAATAGTTATAACGGGTTCCTTTGGGTGGACTATTATTTTTGAGGTAGTTTTGGGTATCAACCCATTCTTTGAAATTATCAAACTTACCTTCTTCAAGGATAAGGTCTTTGAGGTCATCAGGGAAGAGCTCAACTTGTTGTCTCAGGATTTCTCTATATGTTGGGGAGAAAATGGGTAATAACTTGGCATACTTGGTTTGTGCCTGCAGAAATTGAACTTTCTGAAGATTTTCATCTTCATTAGTCCTTTACTCAGAAATAGTTGTTATGTGGGATTTGCTGTCATTTTTTTATAAGATAAATTCAGCTTTCTAAAATGAGATATAAGCGTCTTATGTTCTTGCTGTAAAGTATGATATGTTTTGTTAGATGTTACAAAATATTCACTTAAAGTACTTAGATTTCTAACGAGGGTTCTATTGAGATTATTTTTCGAAAACCAAATATTATCTAAAATAAGTTTTTGGTCAGGAAAAAGATTATGTCTAACGCGGAACTATTGAGTTGGGTTTTGGATAATCAAAAGAGGATTTGAAGTGCCTGATATAAGGCTATAGCTGTTGCTGCTCTTTGTTTCCATTCCTGCAAAAATTATTTTATCAGATAATTCAGATAATTCTTTAAAAGATTCTCTGGAAATATTTTCTTGTATTATTTCTAATTTTTCTTCAAGTTTATTAACTTTTTCAGACAACTGAAGTACTAGCTGGATTAAAAAGTTATTTTATCTAATATGTATATTAGTTAATTGTACGTCTGTTTTAAAACTTGTAAATCCTACTGGTTCTTTATCAATTTTATAAAGCTCGGCTAAAGCTGTTAGATAGTCAGGATTACTAGTGCTCATAAAACTATTGTAATAGTCTTTTAATATCAGTTTTAAGAGATTCTAAATGGTTTATAATTATTTTTTGATTTTCAGAAATACTTTAATATCGTTATTAATATCTTTAATGGTGACTAATATTATTTTGTTATTCAAATTATTTGGACTAGAATTCTGTACTACTTGTTCTTTAATATAGTCAAGATTTTTTCCTAAACGTTTTATAGAATCATCTAAGTTATTAAAGTCTATTCTATTCATAAACTAAAATTGTTGCGTTCTAATTTCTAAAATATTCTTTATTAAAATAATACTAAACCTAAGGTCTTCTATTCTACGTTGTAAACTACGCTTTGTGTCTCTTAATTCTTGTGCTATGTCACAATTCCTAAGTGCTATTTGACAAAATTCTAGGACTTGCACAACTTGTTCTTTGGGTAAGTTATGCATAAAATAAATTTTTGGGGTGAAAATATAATTTTAGTTTAATAAAGGGTTAAAATAGAAATTGGTTCATGTATTTGTAAATATACAAACTACATTTATGACTAAGTAATATATTTTTCTTACTACCACTATTTTGTAAAATTTCCTTATTCTTTTCGTCCACATCGTAATCATATTTACCTGTTTTTGAAGTTTCAATGGCGGCGATCTTAGAATCCCATGGGACGGGCCAATTCAAATGTTCCATCACTAAACAAATAAAAATAGGGCGGTGAGATTCTAGCAGAAAATTTTCATTATTTTTCTATTTTCATTGAATAACAAATTTTTGGATCCAAATCACATAATTTATAATATATTCAGTCGATTTATTATTATTATTTTGAATAAATATTAGGACCCAAATCACATTATCTAGGAAAAAAATTGTAGTTAATATCTATGAAAGTAGCATAAATTTTGTTGAAATTACAACTTGTGATACGTGTTCGTGGTTGAATTAATTCATCCTTGAGTCATTTACTTAAAATTTTTGTAGATGAGGTCCACAAATGAATGTTTTATTTTTAAAATTATTTTCTTTTTTTTCTTTATCTGAATAGAGGCTCCCTCTTACTTTCTCTTTCCTTCCATCGTAAGAATGTGACATGTGACAAACAAAGAGGGAGATAATTTAGTGCGGATTCAGAAATTGTTAATGAGATTGGTTATATATATATATATATATATTGACTAGGCAAAAATTGCTTTACCTTCTACCTTTTCAATTGGAAGTTACAAAATTTTTGTGGCCAAACAATAACCACCATGACTTATATATATATATATCATTACATCTATTTTCAGTATATTTAAATTTACTTATTATTAAAAATAGTTGTGGTCCTTGTTAAAATGTATAGAAAACCTGTGCAGCTGATGAGGATCAGAACAAATATATGCAATAATATCTCTCAATGACAAATTCAAATTGGTGCATGCAAGCCAAAAAAACAGGTACTATGATATAGGAGGAGGTGGCAAAGGGGTTACGGTTGTCCGCCACCCACCACACGATCGACCGCAAGCCCATTTCGCCATGTGCACGACGCATCTCATTGGAACACGGCATATGGACCCCATCAACATCTCTATATATATAACGCCATATATATATATACATGGTGAGGTTGGTGAGTTTTTGGTATTGACCATGACTAAAGGCACTGAATCGATGGTACATGCGGCAATTTGAACATTAGTGTGAATTTCATTTTCCTCCACATTTCCCTGTTTCAGGCTACCAGACTGAGTCAACACGTTAACGTTACTCTTTTTCCTGGTTTAAATTTATCTTTTGATATTTTCTCTATATATTACTCGTAGATATTGTTCTTCTACACATAGATTCATTAGAAAATAAATCAAGGAGACATTTATTTGGATATTGATTTATGAATCCTTAATTCATTCTTTCAACTCAAAAAAGTTCGTACTTTAGCAACATAAAAAATTAATTGCGCAGCCCCAAAAAATATTTATCCTTGCGTAAACTTATCTAGGTCAATAATCTTCCATGCTTATTTTAATGTGATTGACCAACATGTGGTAATTCCGTAATTACAGGGTTCCTCACAACAAAAGTCTTTAAAAGAAGAAAAAGAACAGAAACAAAAAAATAGAGAGAGAGAGAGGCGGTGGAAATGGAAAAGAGGGAGAGAAAAATGAAACGCTGCTCCAAAGGTCAATATGATTCTCATGTCATACACGGCAGCAATGATGTGTGAACATTTTTTCTTAATTTGATAGTTGAGGTTGAACCAACTTGGTGTGAACACACAAAAGTGGTTGAAACATCAAGAGAGATTTGCATCTTTATAAAACATATAAGAAAACCCCAAGACTTTCTAGGCTGCTTCCATTCCAAAATTTTCTTCTTTGTCTTATTAAATTGGAATCAATATATATATATATATATATATATATATATATATGCACTGACATTCTACAAAAGAGCCAGTCAACAACCCCAACTCTTCATCAACAACCTTCAAAGACTCCTATAAAATCTATATCTGCCCCTTTCTCATTGATCAAACAAAAGGTTTTTCACTACCCAGATAGAGAAAATACCTTGAAAACCATTTTTTTGTATCAATTGGGACACACCCAGATACTAAAAACTGGTTTTCACAATCAGGGTATTGATCTTCTAGGCACCTTAAAACCATTATTTTTGATAAATCAATCAATCATGATGGATATATCTTCAAAAACCATCCCGTTTTCATGTGTTTTCTTGATTTCCCTATTTGTTTCATCATCTGCACAAAGTTGCAGCACTTACACATTTGCCAACACCAACAATTTGTTCAGCAGATGCAATGACCTTCCATACCTGAACTCTTTCCTTCACTGGAACTACCACCAGTCCAACAGCACAGTCGACATCGCGTACCGGCACACCGGGATTTCGTCCACCCAGTGGGTGGCTTGGGCACTCAATCTCCAAGGGACAGGTATGATTGGGGCACAGAGTCTGGTTGCTTTCCACAACACCAGTGGGGCTGTCCGTGCCTACACAGTTCCTGTGACTAGCTATGGGACTCAGATGGCTGAAGGTAATTTGAGCTTTAATGTGCCAAAGATAACAGCAGAGTATGTCAACAGTGAGATGATCATATATGCCACTTTGGAACTCCCAAGTAATCAGACCACTTTTAACCAGGTGTGGCAAGAAGGTCCAGTTTCAGGGAACACACTTAATGTACATCCCATGGCTAACAGTAATAAAAATTCTTTAGGGTCTGTGAATTTCCTTTCGGACCAGAATACTGTTTCACCCACTGGAGGAGCAGTGATTCCAAGACTCAAAAGAAAAAATGTAAGCAATTCAATCTCTGCTTATTATTATTATTTTTTTACGAATTGGTCATTAAATTATCTTTTGGGGTTTGATTGATTGATTGATTGTTTTTTGTGATTGGGATGTAAAATTTCAGGTTCATGGAGTGTTGAATGCAGTGAGTTGGGGAATTCTGCTGCCTTTGGGTGCAGTGATTGCAAGGTACTTGAAGGTGTTCAAGTCGGGTGATCCAGCATGGTTTTACCTGCACGTTGCTTGCCAGTCGTCGGCCTACGCCGTCGGGGTCGCCGGGTGGGCAACTGGTCTGAAACTTGGCAGTGATTCTAAAGGACTCAAAGAGGAAACTCATGGGAACATAGGCTTGGTCCTCTTCATCCTCGGAACACTTCAGGTACCTAATCCTCGTCTTATACCACCTAATTATATAACACACATTTTTAAAGAGACACTTTTATTTGTTTAGCTTTTTATTTCTTATACTATCAATTATCATTCTATCATTTTAACCAAGCTCGTTTAATCATGGAATTGAATCAATTTAGTATAGAAGTTATAAGAAAACTATAGATAAAGTACCATATAAATGACATGGTTAGATGGTCATGACTGGGTGGTTGCACACTTATACTATTTAAGAATCTATTACTTTATTTAGATAAGGTGGGTGAAGGTAGTAAAAACCATTTTAAACTTGTAAGATGAAGGATTTTTCAATCAATTTTATTGTTATTAATCTCAATAAATGTAACGATTTGGGGTTGAGGTGGTTGAGACTTATATGTGTTTTGGACACATTTCAATTGTGTAAACGTTTTTTTAAACATAAATAGCAGAAGAAAGCATGCAACATGAACAACAATATTTACATGGTGGGGATAGTAATTTCAAATATGCAGAGCAATTTATTTATTTATTTTTCCCCTTAATATGTCCATACCTGCGATGGTTGTCAAGTACTTCTTCTATTATATGATTGCGCATGGTGTGGTTTAGCTTTTTAAAATTGTGGGATGTTTGTTGACGCATGTAGGTATTTGCCTTGCTTTTGAGGCCTAAGAAGGACCACAAATACAGATTGTATTGGAACATCTACCACCACTCTGTTGGATACACTGTGATTGTTCTGAGCATCATCAATGTGTTCAAGGGCCTGGAAATATTGGACCCAGCGGAGAAATGGAAAAAAGCATACATTGGCGTCCTCATATTCTTGGGCGTCAATGCAGCTATGTTGGAGGCCTTTACATGGTACCTTGTTATCAAGAGGAAGAAGGCTGGCTCTGATAAACACCCGCACGCCGCCAACGGAACTAATGGAGTTAGTGATTATGGATCTAGACCACAGCAGGCAGTGTAGAGATTATACATACATAATACATCTATGCTTTGTGCTAGGCTTGGTATCTTTTAGACAGGGTTGAGAGGGGTTATTTGGACACCATATCCCAAGGGAGATTACTCTAGCTTGTGATGTTATTCTTTCTTCGTGTGATTGTGAATTTTTTAGTAGATTAGGGTTCCCTTTAGACATTGATATGGTGTAATTTTTCTGTTATATATGTATTTATAATGTAATATATATATAGTGAGTTCCTGTTTTCGTTTATATTGACTGAGATTCAAGTTCTTGCATTAATTTAATTTTTGAGTGAAATTTGCTTCTTGAGGGGTAAGTTTTGGCACAATAATAAGATTGTTACATTATTTAGGAGGTTACAGTACAGGGACCAGGATCACCTCCAGTTGTATAGTGCAACCATTTGCTCCATTTGAAATAAGTGGCTGAGAATGTGCCACATCAATTAAAAAAATTGGGTAACTAATTTTTTACCACCCCTTTAAATATTGTATTATATATATATATATAAACTTTAAATATTATTTCTAAAATATGATAGCTGTCTCCCTTTCTCTCTCTAGAAGGGAAGAAGGAAATAGTACCAACGGCAGTATGAGGCGAAGAAGAAGAAGTGAAGAACGGCGGTCTAAAGCGAAGAAGAAGAAGTGATGATCGAAGGTCTGAGACGAAGAAAAAAAAGGGAAGAAGGAAGGTCTGAGGCAAAGAAGAAGGGAAGAAAGAAAGTCTGAGGGTTAGGGTTTGAATTTCGAATAAACAAAGATGAAGAAGAAGGGTAGGGAAAACGAAGAAGGTCTGAGGCTAGGTTTGAAAAGTTGGGATAAATTGGGATGCACCTTAGGAAAATGTTGGGATTTACCGTAGGAAAATGTTGGTATGCACCAGAACGGCGGTGAGGCGAAGAAGAAGTGAAGAACGATGGTATGAGGCGAAGAAGAAGAAGGAAATGGTACCATTTTAAATGGTACACTAACAATTAAAATGTTAAAATGCACCTTAGGAAAATGTTGGGATTCACCTTAGGAAAATGTTGGAATGCACTTTACAAATAAGTTGGGATGTTTGTACGAAAATTTTAGGATGTACCTTAGTAAAATGTTGTGATGCACCACTGTACAAATACGTTGGGATATATGTTACGAAAACGTTGGGAAATTATTGTGATGTAACAAATGAGGATAAATTGGGATACAGGTATAATTTTCAGATTTTATTTTCAAGGAAATCCTCTTATTTCCATAAGAATAGTATAAATAAAGAAATCGTACCTCTTGCTTCGATTTGGAGAAGTCTGATCTGACCTTCAATTTGGAAATAATATCGCTTATTCTACTTCGAATTAAAGCCTGCTTCCTACTTCTATTTGGAAAGAAATCAAAATTTATTTGGAAAGAAATCAAATTTTAAAATGCGTTGATTGATATTTTGGGAGAGAAGAATGGTAGCTAGGTGGCGGGATTTCAATTTTATTTCAAATGGGTTGCTGAAATAAATGAGGGAGTGAAGAAGAAATAAGGGAGGAAAGAAGAGTATATTTGAAGACTATATATATATATTATGTATATACAAAATTATGTATAAAGCAAATATGATTTTTTATCTACCATGGTAAGTACTATTCATTCACAAAAATGAAGGAGGTGATTTTCCACCTACAATATAGAAAGAATTTGTGAAGATAAAATTGTGTACAAATTGGCTATGGCGCTGTGCAACAGTAATTTGCTTCTTCAATCTTTGCACGTTTGTAATTTGAGTCAGCTTGGGCTGAATAAAAGCCAAGGCTAATATCAAGACCATGAACTAGTTTTATGTAGCCTAAAGCCTAATCCGGTCTAAAAAGCAACCATTTGTATATTTATCAATTTTATGCGAACGTCTTTTATTTTCAATAACATGAATTCAATAAAATAATGACCAAAAAGCACGAAACATGAGGTTAGATGAATCCACTAACATATGTGTATATGTAAAACCATGAGATTAATTTTAGTAGTATGTTCCCTTGTTTTTTGGGGGGAAAAAAATAAAAAATCCCCTGTTTTTAAGTGGAGAGTGGACAGTTCAAATTCTCAAACAAAACAATTGGGAAAACATTTATTTTGACTTTTTCATCTTCTTCTTGAAATTAACTAGCACCTTGTAAAATGTGATTGGCTTATTTCATCAATTTGAAAAAACAAGGCCTAAAAAATGGCAAATGTCTCGATAATTGAATGGGTTAGTGAATTTTAGAATGTCAGGATGTCAGGTTTCGACTCTCTATATCTATTAATCTAACTTCTAACCCTTTTTATTTTATAAAATAAATAAATAAATAACTTTCACCTGAAAGAACGAATTTACTATAAAAAAAATTCAAATATAAACTTTTTCATTTTACATAAATTTGCATATTCTCCCTCCAAATTTACATATTAATTTGTAAGAATTTAGGGATTGATGCAATTTTGAAAATTAGCAAAATAATGTTAAAAAATTTTAAAATTGCAAATATGAAATATAGATTTATATATAAACTTTAAAATCTCAAGGATTTGCAAATTATATATATACTTATTCACATTAAAAGATGTGTAATTATATATATTTTTAAAAAATACAATTTATTAAATTAAATTGAAAATGTAATTGAATTGAATTTGTTACAAATTATTATATATTTGTAGATATATAAAGAGAAGGGTTTCAATAGTTGAAGTGGTCGGGTGGAGTGAGAGAGAAGGATTGGTAGTGGACCTGGTGGTGGTGGTGGTGGTGGGTGGTAGGTGGAGTGAGAAATTAAGAGAGGGAGAGGGGATGGTGAAAACACGTGGATGGAGAGAGAGGAAGGGTGACGGTGGCAGAGGTGGGTAGGTGAAAAGAGAAGAAAAAAATACGCATTTATGGTGAACTCGGCCTCCAGTGGAATAGCAAGTCTTTGTTTCGTCCAATTTGATCAGTTCAAAGACTTTAATTAAGAGCTGAAGGAGCAAATTAGTGCACGATTTGAAGAAGGGGGTGGGGGGTTGAGAGGAAGTGATATTTTCTAGATAAAAAATATGTTATTATATTTGAGGACAAAAATAATATTCCATGTAAAATAATGTATATTAAAAGTTTATTTTTTATTTGGATTAAATTAAGTAAAATAATTATAAATGTATCAAAATTTATTGATAGGTTCAAAATACCTTTTTAAACTTTTAGGGATAATTTCACTTACTTTTTCTAAGGTTAATTGTAATTATAGACTGTATCCCTTAAATTTCAAAAATTACATCGTCCTCCCTCAAAGGTTACTTTGTCGTAACACTTAGCCCTCTTCAGTGAAAATCAACCTAGTCAATAATGATTTTTAATGGCTTCAGTTATTTTTAATCCTATAATACCACACATGTCCTTATTATATTTGAAAAAACATTTTATCCTTACTTTTGTATTAAAATAACCTATATCCCCAGGAAAGAAAAAAAAAATACTGTATATAAATTTTCTCATCACTGCCGAGATCGCCACCGCCTACCCCAGCAATGGCGGTTTCATCCTCTGGCCCACCGCACCTTCTACCCTTCGTCAGCTCTCTCATGGGTACTTAGAATTCCTCTTCGCCGTCCGGCATGTCTCGCCGCCTTCCCCATCCACTACTTGGGAAATCTTCCCCGTCTTCAGCACCCAACTATAAACCCAAATTGTGAGAGTGAGTTTCAATTATTCTCGGTTTATCTTTAGTTCATGCGTGCTTCAGTTCCGGCGACGGTTTCCTTCATCAAATCGGTGAGTTTCAGAACAACGAATAAACCGGAAAAGCTTTTGTACCAACGGTTAGTTTCACATTGGCACAGCAGAAAGAAAGAATCCCAACCCTAAATCATTTGTGATGCAAGCTTCATCGTCGCCATTTCAACTTGGGGGGTCATCGCGTTCTTTTATTGGTGGATGGTTGTGGTTGTCGGTATACCATAGTCGTCGAGTGACTAGTTGGGGAGTCGTGGTTTGATTTGGTTGACACTACGCTGCCTGATCTCACCGTTGTGCATCGCCGGCGAATTGGATGATTGGGGCTTTCAGCATTACCGATCGCTAAATCATCCATCCATACCTCTATTGGCCAAACCAGGTGACAATATGTTTCTTTATTCTAGAGCTCCGATGATTCCAGCACGGCGATTCGTCGACAATACAATATGTTTCTTGATTCCTTTACATGCTGATTGCAACAATTAAACAAAGTTGTAAATATATATGACGAGAAAGATGTAGAGAGACCTTGTATATAGAGTTTTAGAGAGAAATGTTCAGACATAGACTTATATAAAGTAGAAAGAGAGAAATATTGATCAGAAAAGAAATATTGATCAGAATTTTTGAAACATTGATCAGAAAAGAAATATGTGATCACAGATTCTCCAAACACCAATTCCACAATTATAGCTGTTATATCTGGCACAGTTACTGATGATAATGTTCTTCTCAACTTATCTTCATCACCTTTGAAGCCCCCTTCAGATGACGATTTCTTCTTCTCCGCCTCTTTCGCCTCTTCCTCCTCCGACGACGATGTTCATGCCAACAAGCCTTCGTCACCTTCACCGCCACCTGTTCTTGCTCGGCCTCAGATCTCTATATTATGGCCTTCAGACAGCAATCTAACCCTAGATTGGGTCATGGACCTCATCGCAGCCTTTGATTGGTCCTCCAAGAATCTGCCTCTGCAGGATTTGCCTTCGGTGTTGCCGGTACACGTGTTTGCCGAAAAATGCTGATCAGTTTGAAGAGAGGTGAGTGTAATTTTTGAAACGTAAAAAGTGCTGTAATTATGCCTAACACTTAAGGAAGGTAAGTGAAATTATTTTAAATTTTTATTTCAAAATATCAAAATATATATATTTTTAAATCATATAATTTTAAAATACAAAATAGATAGTTGAAAATCAGTTTGAACTAACAAATATGAATTAGATAGTTGATAATGACCAACTTAAAATATTTACTAGTGCATTGTTTTTAAAATAGTTAATTTGAAGAACTCAGTAATATATGACATAAATAAGTCGTGCAAGGAAAGAAAAATGAGCAAAATACTAATTATATCCTCATTCTTACTATGGACTTTTTTTTTTTTTCGGAAAGTTGTTACTACGGATTAATTATTCTTTTGTTCCAACTCGGTGTTGGACTTATTACATAAAATTTTTTTTTTTTCAAAGTCTATTATGTCAAAAATTGAAGTAAGTAAATATTCACAAAAGTTTTTTTCACACAAACAC